ATATTACTCACCAGCTACTTGTATGCCACAGATAACAATATCTTCAAGCCCATCTTCAATGGCTTTATCAAGGGCAGCCTTCATCGTTTTCCCAAGATATACCAAATCTTCATTTATTAAGTCCTCTTTTGTATTTGGTGGCTTGATTTCACCAAACATCAGTTCAATATAATCATTTAGATTTGTTCTGATTATAAGATCTGGCTTTGTACCATGGAAGGTTGGATCAAACTGTTTTTTTGACCACATTGATGAGTTAGACGTCTTACTTGACCTATAAATAATAATAGAAATAATAGAAATATTATTCATTGATTTTACATATAGTGAATTTCAATACAATACATACCATTCGATTATAGTGTTTTTATTAGTAAAAAATGGTTTAATAATCGGGCTGACAATACTGTGAGTAAATGTGTCCTCTGCATAATTTCCTTTGAAGGAAGATTGTCGATCATCAACAGCACTGTGTAATGCACAATAATCATATTTAGTTAATGTGATTCTCAAGTCCACATAAACACATACACATTTAATAAGAACATACAGATTCCAAAGAATGTTGTACATTGTCTTTTCAAGTTTATCAGTGGTCTCAAGCCCTTTTAGATATGCTTCTATTTATGTTTGACGCTCTTGCAGGTTTCCATACTCACAAGGAAGCTGAAAATATAATATGACAAATCATATATAAAAACAATGAAAAAAAGTACATTCAAAGTTCCATGTGTATAGAGCATTATTTATTGCCTTATAAGTACCTTAATAACTTTTGTGAATATTTTGTACACTGTTTCAGGAATTGGCTTGGATGAATATTGTTCCCTTATCTTTACAAAAACACTTGACCAGAGTTCATCATCGAAATATTCTTGAAGTCCTTCTGGGTGTTCTTCTTGAAACAGGAAAATATGACTCAACACTCTACAAAAGCAAAAAACAGTTAGTTTTCTTCAATGTTGTCAATATTTTAAAGATATAATACGAACAGCTCCTCATTTGCAGTAATGGTAATTGTTTTCAATTCACATTTTTTAATAACCATAGTATGATACTCTTGACAGATAGTAGAAATGTCAATATCGTTTTCAACCCACTGTTTGAAAGAAGAGATGGTCAAACAAAATAATAATAATAATAAGACACATATGCTGTGATATATTACTCTCATTGAATCTTCTTTTAGCACCCTAATGATAACACCAGGTCCAACAAAATACTCCATATAATAAGCTTTCCTCCCTTCCATTTTAATATAAACTTTGGAAATTATCGAATTATGTGAAGATGAAATGTATGACAAGTCTGTTGCTGACAAAAACTGTTCTTCTATATAACATATCATGTTTCTCCTTCTTAGCATCATTATCATTGGTGAAGAAGAGTTCTCTTTTTAGAATAATCATTATAAATTAATAGTCTTGTTATAAAAATCAATATGCATTATTTCCTCCACCAATTCAGGAAAACCAAGAAATTCTTACCATAATTCAATAGTGGAGATAATTCATTATAAGTTGACTAATAAAAAATATAAATCATTGAATCTATAAAGCATACATATGTTGCTAATAATAAATAAATAATCTTGTTGAAGATAATTCAAGATGGAGATGCTTCTTCAACTTGGTTGGTGTTATTGTCATTTTTGGTCAGCGAAGAAGCTACCTTAATTTTCTTATTATTGTCATTATTGATTGATGATGGAGATCCTCTAAAAAAATACAAGCATAAGTTATTAAAGTAGAGACAACAACAGCTGAATGCAACCACTACTGTACTTAAAAAAAAACTAGAGTGATGACCACTTTATTTTGATAAACAATACTTACTTTCTGGTTGCTTCTGCAGCATTGATGTATTGTTTTCTTTTACTGTTGGTTCTTTTGTCTTGTTTTGGCATGTTTAAAAAAAAAATTTTTTTAAAAAAAGACTTGTTAATAAAAAACAAGTATGTAAACATTAATATTAATATTATTGGCATTGCACAAAGATTTGTTTTTGTTGACGTGATTGAAATTTTTTTTTTGGGAAAACAAAGATGACAAAACACAAGTGATGTTGCTTAGCATGAATGGTTCTAAAAGGAGATGTGTTAATAACTAGCCAGAGGTATCTTTTTTTTAATTTGCATTATTGAAATCAAAATGCGGAGCAGATCTTGTTGGGCAATTATAAGATTCTCATCAAGATAGTAAATGATTGGTATTTTACTTTCAGAAGGAACATTTCAAATATGTGACGTTTGATAATTGGAAATTTGACAAGTGTTGAAGCACTCACACTACAGTCATTCACACATGTTCCTCATGTACAAAAGGTTAAACTGACCTGTGATGCCCAAAGATATGATAATGCAATCGAATTCCAGGGAGGGGTGGTATGGCCCTGGAGTTTACCAAGACTGCATCAATTGTCAATGACACTTTTGATAATCTTCCCAAACCAGAGAATGCTGGTTGAAAAGTTGCCTGCAATGATCCTACCTCTAGGGGTAAGGATGACTCTGTGACCAAGTCGCAATTCTGCAGCATTTTGAAGAGTTGTGATATTAAGTACACATAAACATCCAGATCCATCAAAGCAACAAGAATCTGCAACTTGTTTCAAGCACATGAGGTCGCAATTCAGAGCAGTGTTTGTGTCCCTGAAATTGCATTTGGACTCTGATGTTAGAGGAAAGTTGTAAAATAGTGTTTGCTTTGTACAATCATTTTCATAAAAAAAAAGAAGCTAAAGATTTGCTCAAAAGATTTAAAGAACATCTGTCTAAAGCCAAAGTAGAAAGAAACTATTATAATAAAAACACCAAATTAGCAGAATAACAAAGAAAACTAGTTGATCAACATTATTCCAAGGTATTTCAGTATTGATGCCACTGCTCATTATAGTTATGATTGAGCCCAATGTAACAAATTACTCCGAAGTCATGTGTAACATCGAGGTGGTACATAAATATTTACATTAGAAACGTGACACATTTATTATTATTATTTGTATTTCGTGTCTTTAATTATATTTATTATTATTATCTATGTCCACAAAATCTTCCGGATAGATTGATAAGAATCTTATGATTATTATTATTTATATTTTATTTATATTTTATCAATCTTATATTATTATTTATATTTTATCAATCTATGTAATTTTATATATAAAGGACATCATATTAAGATAATAAAGATTAACTTTGTAATTTTACAATAATTAAATTACTTATTTCGCTTTTAAACATTGAATGTTTACACCCAAAATGTTCATGTGCCACATTTAGATCAACAAGTAAGTAAAATCTCTTACCTTAGTCCATGTAAAGTTCATTTATTTGGTATTCAAGATGAGGCAATAAGGGAGCAAATTAATTATGTTCTTAATGAAGATGAAATTATAGTAAAGGGACCTGATGGCACTCTTAGTATGATTTTTGATGGAATTAGGAAATTAAATAAAGGTGAAAAGCATTTAAAGATTACTTGTGATAATGCTGGTGGACAAAATAAAAATAATGTAACTGTTTGGTTTTATTTATATTTAGTAATTTGTAGTTATTATGAAAGTGTTGAACTAAGCTTCATGGTTCCTGGACATACTAAATTTAAATGTGATGGTAGTTTTGGACTGATTAAAAAACTCTACAGAAAAACATGAGCAGATTGTCTAGATCATGTGGTTGAGTGATAAAAAAGTCTAGTCCAGCTGGATTGAATAAAGCTCAATGCTACAAAGCAGAAAAAGGTTTCAATATTTAGATATTAAAGCTATTTTGGGAATTTATTTTAAGAAATTACCAAGTATACAAAAATATCAACATTTTCTTTTTGATGCATCCAATTTTGGTGTAGTTAAAGCTCAGGAGATTGCTAATGGACCTTTTACTGAATTCAATTTATTGAAAACTAAGAAAGCAGATATTTTTGAAGAAATTAAATTTCTATCTATTTTAGTGTTAACACCACCTCCTTTGGATTACAAAAGACAAGAATATCTTTATTATAATATTTGTCCATTTGTGAAAGATGAATACAAAGATATTACTTGCCCAAGACCATTCTATACCAGAAATGAATAAAATATTTAGAATAAAATTACCTTCATTACTTCATCACTCCCTTGCTGTTATCAAGTTTAATAAATTTAATCTTTTGACAAATATTGTTAGCCTTTTCCACTTTTAAAGTAAAAAAGTACTAAAACAATTTATAATTAAAAGGATAAATAAAAAAAAGGACAAACATGGTAAACATTATAAACAAACAACAACAAACAAATAAAGCACTAATAAATGAAATAGAATTATTGAAAAAGCAATTGGCTGAAAAAAGAAGATTTTAAGCTAAAAATCTGAAATGCAGTTCACAGTCTTATGAAAGTTCAGAATATACTGGAACAAGTTTAAGAACCTTAGAAAGATTTGCTAGAGTTGACAATGGTTCATTAAGTTATCCAGAAAAGAATGGAATTGAAATTGGAAGAGTTGTTTTTAGCAACAAATTCACTCCTGAAAACATTGTTAAAAGTTTTGGTCATGAAGCATTAAATTATGAAGAAGCTTTTGGTTTTACTTATCAAGAAAAAGAAGAATTAAAAGAAAAGGATGCTCTTCTAGAAAAAAAGGTTGTTGAGTTACAGCAAATTAATCAAGAGTTGGAAGAAGCATTAGAACTAGAAGTGGAAATATCTGAATGTCATTTAGAGGCTCTTGAAGTAGCTAGACAATGGAGAGTAAGGCAAAGTAAGGAAAAAAATGATAACTTAGAAAAAGCTTTGAGAAAAATAGAACTGCTAGAAAACACTGTGGCATGGCAGAATTATTTAGTAGACAAGCAACTTCAAGAACTATCAGTTTTACCAAGGAAAGAAAACAAATTTAAACTCCTAACTAACAAAGTAAAAGTTAGCCAAATAAAAGAAATAACCAGAAAAAAATTCAATGTCTATATTTTACAAAAGAATAAATAGTATGAAATTAGAATATCAAGTTAACAAACTGAGGAGAGGAGATAAATGGCATTGTAATTTCTGTCCTTTTGAAAGAGAAAGGAGTTTAACTGCTACTTATAAAATAGTATCTTACAATACAAGCAATAATGATTACAATTACATTGCTTATATTTGCGTTGAGTGTATGTGTTGAGTGTAAAAAAGCTATTGATAATAATACTTTGCCACATTGTAATGATTGTGGTAGAATTATGAGAAGCAGGATAGATTGTTTTTGTGATTTAAGGAAAGATGAACCAGTCAAAACCCCAACCATAACAGAAATAATGGCACAGAGTTATGTTGGCAGATTGGAACAGCAGAATAAAGACTTAAAACAGCAACTATCCAGTGCTAAGGAAGAAATCAGTTCCCATTTGGAAGCCTTAAAAGTTTCAAAGGATTGACATAATAAGCAAAAGCAAGAATTATTAGATTAAATTCAAAGTCTTGAAAGTACAGTTAAAGAGACAGCAGACTCAACTAACTACACAAATTGAAGTTAAAGAAACTAAAAAATGACCTTGATTGAAAATAAAAGGTAATTAAAAATTAACAAAGTTGAAGAAAAAGTAATTATTTGTTTTGTCAAGTTATTCTTCCAGTTTTCTTTTTTTTCTTGATTCTTTATTAGAATTCTCTAATACTCTTTTAAAAACTCTTTCTTCTTGGTAGATTTCATAAGTAATCCTTTCTTTTCTTAGATAAGCTTCCAGCATTTGAGTATCATTTATTTTGAAAATGTAAGGAGCAATTTTTTCACCTTGTTCTTTCTTCAGAATACTTCTAATGGTACTATAATTCTTGGGTTTCATGGTAGATCTGATGTAAATGAGTTTCATATTATTTTTATATAGGGGTAATTCTATATATCACTCGAGAAACAGGAAAGGTAACAAAATGCGGCATTATAAAATTGTTAATTGCATTACATTTGTGATGACTAAATTTTGATCCCTGAAATTCTTGGTAATACCAATGTTCACTTTGTCTGGTTTTGTTGCAGTATGTCCCATATACAGTGCAGATCATCTATACTCAAAGTTAAAATTTTTGAAATATTATGTGATCCACACATTGGATTTTAAAAAACCCATCACCATTCAATTCAGGAGTCTATTAATCTAAAAAAAAAAATTTTCTTTTCATAGATTTTTTAAATTTGAAAATTATGCAACAATAATCTTCATGTTACAATATTTTGAATCTCACAATCAAATTTGGTTAATGATTTTCTTTTATGTAATATGTTTGTTAAACTTTTTTGTTGTAATTTATTAATAAAAAAAAGGAAATAAAATCAAATAAATCAAATGAAAATGTTCTATGCTAAGGCTCAGCCAATTTTCAGTTTAAGAAAAAACCAGCCAATAAGTTTTGAAGTTTGGGTCATGAACAATAAAACTTATTGGCTAAATTTTTTAAAATGATATAATTTTTTTTTGTTTTAGTATTTTGAAGTTGACCAATTGTTACTATATATAAGCAATTAATGATTATAGATGATCTGCATCGTAGTTGGCTTGGTCTAAATTTTGCATAAATTTAAAAGTATAGAAGTCACTTTCTGTCCTACCTTTTAAAAAAAATAGCATTATTAGTTGATAGAATAAAGTTAATTTTAATGTAATAATGAGATTTCTTAAAAAAATTATTTGTTCTATTCTTTTTTAGTACATACATTTTACTATTACTATGTTCATGAGGAATTTGGCCACTAAATCATTACGAAATTTAGACCAGCTCATGACTATCATATCTAAATTTGGCAGTAAGAAATACATAGGTAAACTCGATAAGTCAGCCGTGCATGGCTGAGCATGTTTGGCTGACTTATCGAGAGAACTGACTTATCGAGACCGTCTTACAAA